AAAAAAAAAAAAAAAAAAAAAAATTTAGGAGAAGAAGAAACTAAATTCTTTGTTTTAAAATCATACCCCTGTGTTATATATCTAAATTGTGTCCAATGTTTCTTTTATGAATAGCTGCTATAAGTATTGATGATACACACCTTGGTTATTTTTCTGTATATAATTTCACATGAATTTGTCAGAAGCAAATAGAAATATGTGAAAATTTGCTTTCCTCTTTTAGTACATTAAAAAGTAATTTATTCATACTACTTGGACACATTTGTGGAACATAGCATGATATTTTGATACAAGTGGACCATGATTCAGTTTCAATTCACTTTTTCTTGTCTTTCTATCTCCTGTCTTGCCTCTTCCCTCAACATGAACAGAGAAATCCCTTCAAAATAGGCTTGGAATTCATGGATATTCATTAATCTCAATTTTGCTTTTGGAATTGTGAGTTAGCATATTAGGCACAACAATTAGTTTAGAAATAGATAATCTTTTAAATTTTGAATAGGACCTTATCTCATATTTATGCCAATAAGACTAAGACAAAATGCTCTTATGTTCATTCAGTATCATTTACTGGTTCAGTAAAAATTTTATGATTTTATTTGTATACAGAAATACTTCACAAATTCCTATGTTTCTTCGTGAAGAATGCCATTCCATATGCTTAAAGAATCCATTCTGTGAGCTAAGGGAGGAGGGCAGGTTTCAAAAGTCAGTGGTAGGAATTCATAGGCATTCTTTAAGTACACAGCATCTATGCTCTGCATTTTCTCTTTCATCTTTCCATCAGGTGGCTATGGTGAGTAAAGCCACATACCCTAAGGGGACTTTCCTAAGGTCTCCTACAGTCTTGTTCTAGCCAGGGAATACCTGTGGTCTTTCATCATTACAACATTGTCCACACAATTTTTATTGCTTGTTTACAGTCTTTCTTCCAAAGTAGAACAAACTGCTTAGGGACAGACCCTGTGCCTATTTTGTTTTTCTGTGTACCCAGCTCTCTGCTGTGGGATATGCTAGGCATTTATCAATATATTTGGAATGGGTGTGGATTATTTTCTCATGTGTTTAGTACTATACCTTTGTTTAACTGTAAGTGCCAAAATCTTCAGATTTGCTTTTATTTTTAACAAAAATGAAATAAATAATAAAATTAAATAAAATTCACCTACTTGTGATGGAAAAATAGGTAAGAATTTCTGTTTGTAGGTTTCATTTCCCCATTTTCTATGACTTTGTTACTGTAAGTCAGATAATTCGAATGAAAATCATGGAATATTTCCTGCTGAAGGAGCGAAGCAAACAGATCCAATGTTTACCTTAGGCAGAGGTTTGGCAGGTTTGCAGTGGAGCCCTCCAATGAAATCGATGTTGGGTAAGGATGGGCGAGGAAATTCCAAGTCCCAGTACGTTCGAATGAGCCATATGTCTGCTTTGCTCATTGTCTCAGGTAAAGTAGTCGGTCTTCCTGAAGAGGAAAAAGAACATGGAAGCCGTCAAATGTGAGATGGTGGCAGGTGAGTATGGATGTGCCAGGCCACTTTCTGAAAGGCTTCTTCAATAATGTAGCAGAAGATGTTTAAAGTGCCTGTGTTTGATGACAGCCGTTATGTTTGCATATGCATATATACACATATACATATGTGTATAATAGGTGTTTATGAATATAAATGTATCAGATATTTCTCACATTTATATGTAGTTGTATGAAAATAATTGTATGAGTTATTTGTGAGAGTAGTCTAGGATTGCAACTCAAGTCAGTACATTCATAATCATAAACAAGTGTCCTAGCTTACATATATATATATATATATATATACATATATATATATATGCATTCTCTCTACCATTGCCTAATAAATCAAATATGAAGAAATATTTTAATTGATTATCTTGTAGTCCTGTAATACACATGGAAACGTCTTTGTTGGGAACACTGCATTTATTTTGTACTATGTAGAAAGTGTTCCCTGTTCTCTCTGAACTAAGAGGATTTTCAGTACGGCTAAATTCTGTGTACTTACTTCCTACTTTTGGTTCACATTAATAGCTTAAGAATATTTATTTATTATAGAAATACATCATCAAATAAGAGCTAGAAAAGTTTATATACATATATAATA